GATAGATTAAATATAATCTATAGATTGTAAATATATAAATTATTGATAATAGCTTGGTTATTATTTTTTCGAATGTTACAATATAGAAGAAAAATATTTAATATTACAATTTTTAAACGTCTTAATTTACATCTACTTCAAGTTCACATCAAAATATACACTGTATGAAACTCCACCCAAACTCTACAAGGTGAGGTCATTAAGAATATCGAGTCCATCACTTTCCTCCCCCCGCTTTGTTAAGCCATTTTTGGTAAAGTTATAAATTCGATTCATTATTTCTTTTTTAAATATTGATCCGTTTAAAATAACCATATCAATCATAAATATATGAAATTAATAATTAAATTCTAAATAAGATTTAGTGATGATGAATTTTCTTAAGATGACGCACGAGATATAAAATTCCAAATTAAAATATATTATATATTTTTTGAATTTTATAAGACTGGTTCTGTTAAGATAAGGTGATCAAAATTAAATTCTTTTCGAGACAGTATACGAAGATTGATTTAATTCGTATTAACACATTACAGAAATCGATAAAAAGTTATTGATAGGATACAGATTTTTAACGAGATATGATAAATTCTTTCTTTATTCGTGCATTTAATAAAATGACTTAATAAACTGGCTTAATGAATCCTGTTTATTTTTATTATAATGAACTTGTTATTATTGAACTAATTGATTTATCATAATTATGATACAAATGTGAGTACTAAAATGGACGAAATTCAAGAAAACTTCCATAAAGGGCTACTTCCCAATGACATTAATTACTGGTTTATATTCATAAATAATATTCAAAAATTTTAATTAACCTTAATTTTTTATATATTCAAATATTCTAAGATAAAAAATCAATTGGATTCGTAAAACCAATCATATCGAAATTTATTGGGTGTATTAAAACTAAATTAAATTTAAATTGAATCAACTAATTCTAATGATTAGCCTATACAGCAGAATATTAATTTTAGTTACAATTTAAAGAAATAGTAATAATTAATTAATATTTGTCCTGCATGTCTAATGGAATTAGCTGACAGTTTGAAAGTATTCAATGATGATTCGCAAATATATTCAAATTTTCTGGCTGCAATGAATTGAAAATGTTAAAAATATGAAGATAAAGATTGATAAATGATTAAAAATCCTCAAATAGTGATTTAACCGTTCATTACTTAATTTGTAAGTCGAGCAACAAAGCTATTTTTCATTTTAAAATGCTACTAAACAATATTTATACACCCTTAAAAAATGCTGCGAATCTTTGCTTAGTATAATATATGGTTTATTTTTTACGAATTTTCCATTTTATTATCATAAAATCATATTTTATTTCAGAAGATCATTTCAATTTGTTATTTAACATAATTTTTCATGTAATAATTTATATTAGATTCTCAGATTGAAAAGGGTAAAAAAAAAAGTTCTTTAATGTTTTAACTGGAAAGTTTTTTGTCTCAGAAAATTAATTATTCATCGAATAAATTGGAGATTTTTAATTACCAAAACCATTTTGGATAAACTTATTATTTCAATATCTATTTTAAAAAAATAAAAGATCGTCTTATATTTTAATACATAATTTCATAAATAATACACGAAATATCACGGAAATTAATAAACACAAAATTACATAAAACTAAATGAAATATTGCAAAATGTGAACATAATCTAAAAGTGCATTCGTTTCAAAATAATACTTTATAAACTTATTGTTTTGAATGTGTTATTTATTGTATTTTTGCAAGATCAGTTTGTCAGCTAAACGTAGGTCAATGTTCTGTATATTTTCCAATTGTGATCCTTGGACAACTGGCACCTATTAGTGGTTTACAAATTAGGTAAATAAAATAATATCATATAATAGGTTTAACTTAAATAGTATCAAACGAACGAACACATATAAGATCACAGTTTAAGAGAGAATGTGTGTCATATATAGCTTTGTTATATAGTTTTTCCTATAACATATGGTATGCAAGTATGTAAAATTACCAAAACATAATTTTATTCTATAGTAGCTTACTTAAAATTTTATAGGTCTTTGTTTCGTTGTATTAGATTGGAACCAATTAATCGCTTATGGTTTTTATGTTGTATAGAATTTTATAATAAATTTTTGAATAGATATAAATGAAATTTTTAATGGATCCTTTATAGACAAGCCATTTTTATTTCTTTAGTTTTTGTTTGAATGTTATATTGACATAACGCTATATTTGATTTTTCTTATGTTGATATAGATCCAAAACTTTTTATTTAATTCAAATCAAGTTTATAATTATTAAATCGTAATTTGATACGATTAAATAAGTTCCTATCGTAAATTGTTCCAATTTTTGATACGCTCCTATTATAAATTATCTTGTTTTTACGAAAGCAAACAAGATGCTTGTTGCTGGTGCTTACATTTTTTACGCTTATCGTTATAAAAGGTTAAAATTAAATTTAAAAATAAAAAAAATAATAAAATACTTTAAAAGAGCAACTTTTCTTTTACATTTTTTAATACAAATCATTAAAAACACCCTTCAATTTTTAGCCAACAACTAAACATTCCATATCATTAGAAACGAAACTAATGGGCCTATAATTGTATATGAAGACAAATTCCTCAATTTTTTTATACTATTTTATTAATAATGAAAACTTTTGTATATTGTTGAAATGATAATTGACCATATATCATGTTCAAAAACTGTGGAGACGAATTTTTTTTTTCATTCTATTCATTATTTTATTTATCATTGAGTGATGAATGCGCGGTTCATTCATACGTTAGATCATTTATATATATCAAGAGGTAAATGAGGCAAGTGCTGGGTGGCCCAAAAATAAATCGTCAGCTTGCATTTTTTGAGGAGGGCGTAGATTGTTTATATATAATTTATTAGATGTTTGAGAATCGAGTGCTTGATATACAAAGTTGCAAAATTCCTATATCCGGCAACATTATCAACTATTATTTATTTATTTATTTTAGAAAAACAACTCATAACGGACGGCATAGTTTTACAGTAAAGACATATTCCAAACAAATTAAAAATTTAAATATTTTTATAGACGAAAGATTAAAAAATATTAGTTAAACTTGAGAAATTGTACTACATAATGTAATTAAAATTTGTTGCTATTTTTTCATGCTATTTTACGTACGCAAGTTAAAATACAGATCTCAAATAACTGAAAATATTTATATTTTTCCATTATATGTTTTATTTTTATTATAAATATCTTTAAAAATTTTGCAATTTTTTAAGGTTTATATTTTAATTTTAAATGTATGCAAAAATAAACAGTTTAATATTGTTTACATGTCACGCATTATGCTAATACATTAATGTTTATGGCAATGGCATTAATGCCACAAATGTTGTACTGTATACGTTCTAATATTAATATAAATGATAGATTAAATATAATCTATAGATTGTAAATATATAAATTATTGATAATAGCTTGGTTATTATTTTTTCGAATGTTACAATATAGAAGAAAAATATTTAATATTACAATTTTTAAACGTCTTAATTTACATCTACTTCAAGTTCACATCAAAATATACACTGTATGAAACTCCACCCAAACTCTACAAGGTGAGGTCATTAAGAATATCGAGTCCATCACTTTCCTCCCCCCGCTTTGTTAAGCCATTTTTGGTAAAGTTATAAATTCGATTCATTATTTCTTTTTTAAATATTGATCCGTTTAAAATAACCATATCAATCATAAAGGTAGGAACTTTGTTCATCGTAGACAAACAAGGAGTGAGGTAGCAAATATGGCGGATAGAGTGTTGTTTTTTTAATAGAATGGCGAGGGGAAAAGGTGGGGTATACTAATGTACTAAAGCACGATCGAATTGAAAGAATTTAATGCAGTTAGGACACCTTCTAATGATAGTACAGGAAATGTATTAACATGAAGCTTCCGAACATTGACACAACCATGAAATAAACACATTGTTCATTCGTGTTCCAATACATCAGACTATTTTGTAATGCACAGGATGTTAATAATATTCGACATTCTTTTTATTGCTATCTTTGGTATGTGATTTCTAGATGGACGGTTTAAAAAAATAAATAAATATAAATAAATTAGATTATTCATCACAGATGTTGTTGTTGTTGTTGATGATGATGATGTTTTAAGATCTGTTTTTATTTTTTAAATACATAAATAATTTTGTGACGTAATCTGTTGCTTCGATGTAATCTCTTAGGATGAGAAAGTCTCTCATGTTCCTATTCGATTACCCATTAAAATTAATTTATACTTCAATTAATTTTAATTTATTTTCCCCAGAATATTTTAGATGCCTGCTCTTCTTTGAACATAGTATTAATAAATTTTGTCCAAAACTTTAATGTAAGTAAAAATTTATTTCATAATTTTACTAAAGCACATTTGATAATGTATATTTGGCTATGTTCTTTTAAAAAAATTCTTTATATTTACAGCATTCCTATTCTGATCTCATACAAAATTTATCAAGCCCATCTTTGGCATTACAATACATATCATTTTTAGCTTATGCATCAAATATATATTATTTGAATCAAAGCTATGAAGAACTTTTATACTTAAATTATCCATACGACTCGAAAAATGATAATGAAACGTCTTTAATTAACTTTTTAAGCAGAATTTCTGCATTAATCCTGGATGTAACCTGTTTGTTCCATTTAGCGACATCGTTTAACATTCGTTTAAATTTCGATGAATTAACATATCCGATTCTTAATTTGCATTTTGAATTGCCTAATTCAACATCGTTAAAACAAATAAAAGTGTGTCAAATTGTTAAAAGCACATTAAATTTTTTAGCGCAATTTAATGTTTACTTAACAGAAAATTGGTTGTAATAATTTAATATCAAGCGATAAATATCGCATCATTTAAAGTGTATTTATTTCAATATACATTTTGTTTTATATATTTATTTATTTCAAAAAACAAATTTTGAAANTTATTTTTAATTACAGAACAACCCTGGAGAATATAGTTCATATCTTAAATTCATAATAATAAAGATTTGAAGAATTATTATCGATTCCTTGATGTATGACGTTAAAAGTCTGTTAAATGCTAGAATCAAGGTCAAAATTTGGAGTGCCATTTGTTAATTATTAGTTGAATACTTTTATCATCGTCTAATTATTTCTCTTCGACTTAATTTGTAATTAGACATTTATAAAATTGTCAATTGTTAATTAGACTATCGTGAAACTTGAATTTTTTTTTATTAGTAGTTAAGTTGCACTCGTGTTAAAACGCCTGGTTTCCGTATTTATATTAAAAAAATTAAATGTTATATTTTTAATTCTCTTATTAAATATTTTAGCCCGTAAAAAAATGTATTGTTTATTTTATTTTTTGACATTAGAAACAGAAATACCTGAAAAGATTGGGTCATGCGGAGCACAAACACATAATTTGAAATAGTACAAGAATAGAATTAAATATAGACTTATCTTATAAAAAATACATTAAAGATAAATAACCAAAAAAATGTACAGAAGAGAAAATAACAAAAAGAGACAATTGAATAAAGATGGGGTCAAATTTATAGCGGTACAAAAGAATATTTTTTTGTTTATTCCATGAATTTTTAACGGGAACCAGGTAAATTTTATCGAACAAATTGTCGTAAAAATGTTTTCTAAAAACAAAAACAAAAAAGTTGTACAATAATTTTTATACCGGAATTAACCTAGAAGAATATTTAAATAACAATGTTCACATATCACGAGTGTGTATACTATAGAATCGTTTTAATTGTCGATAGAAATAGTTTGTAAATATTTTAAGCTTTGTTTTTATAAATATATATATAAATCGCAATCAATGCTCAACACGAAGTTTTGTATATTTTTAAATCGAATTTATAATGAATTATGTTAAAAAAATAAATCGTTATAAATATTGTATTTATGTAAGAAATGCATTATATAGTTATTTACATGTTCTTTCATTATTTTTTATTGTTAGAAATGCATTTTATTTATGAAAACGTATGAAAAACAAGAAGCAAGTGTTCTCTTTGAGCACCTCACCTCATGTGCCTTTGGGAATAATAAAGTAGATATCTGTGATATCACAACCAACTTGTTTCTCTATTTCTTTATGTAATAAAGCTTCATATATTGCTAATTTTAGGTAATCAAAAATATTCAACGTTGAAATTATGTTTAATGATAAATGTTCCGAATTATTTGCTACTTTAATTGCCTTTTAATTAAACTATTAACCATTAACTACTAATTATTACTGTTGTATGATATCGATATATCTTAACTTTTATCTAAAAATATTCATTAAACTTAGTCATTTAATTGTCTTTAATGTAAAATAATTTTATAAAGTAAAAGGATTTTGCCAAATATAAATTTGTAATTTTTAATATTTTGATATAAATGCAAATATATTTCGAGAGAAAGGAATATAAAGCGCGAAACCAAAATCTATTTATCAATATTCATTCAATGTGTACAGAGGAAATGAGTCTATCTTGTCTGTTGACATAGATTATAATAGAGCATAGACTGCATGCATTTATTATCCCTAGAGAATTCCCCTTTCTTCTAACACCTTTCTCCATTAATGTTTTATTTACTTTGGATCTTGTTTATTAATATTCTAAATATCTCACGGTTTTATTAATTATACACAATAATACGTAAATGTTTTTAAAAAAATAGAATTAGCTCTTGTACTAATTACAAATTTGTGTAGAATTAAAGAATAATTCAATTAATTTTCTTCATTAATATTAACTTTGTAATGACTTTAATACACCGTATACATTGATAAACATATTTATTTAAGAGGATTATATACTAAGCAATTAAATGATTGAAAGGGACTTGTTTATATTCCCAATTATTTTCAAACTTTTTATCAAAGACTTTTAAGTATCTTGTGTATAACTTTTATCATTTTCTCGTACAATCGCTTTTAAGTTACTCATTAAATATTGATAGATACATCGGAAAAGGTTTTAGCTAAATAAGTAAATATATTCTTCCAATCTGCATTCCTGTTTTCTTTTCTTTTCTCTTTAGACTATTTTCCAATTTTATCAAAAATCTTCTTTGCATGTAATTCTGATATCAGAACAATACACAAAACATACGTTAATTAATCAAAGTTATATAATTGTCATATAATTGGTGCTAATAATTTATCCAGGAATAATTAAAATTCTAATTAATGAATGCTAATTAATTAATTAATTTTAAAAGAATTTTTTTTTAATTTTTGACGACAATATTACTTCAATTTAAACTCGGATTATTTTCATCTGTTCGTTTAATAATATAAATTAATTGACTCTATGAATCTTGATGTTAATTTATCAGAATTCATAAATTAAAAGTTCAAAATATTATCTAATTAATTCGATTTATTATCATTTTAAACAACATCAATTAATGGCAAAAAGTTAATTATTTTAACTTTTTTTATTTCTTAAAATTTAATTTTATATTTTAAAAACTCGTCTAAATAGAGATTTTATCTTTAAAATAATTTATCGTTGAGGTAGTATTTTAGAAGCCTCCTATGAAAGAATGTTTGCATCATTATTATCTAAATAGGAGATTAAAAGATCATTAACGTAGTCTACAATTGTTCATACTGTGAAGCCTGTTATTTTAAGAAATAATAGGTTTCAAAGTAAGAAAAACTATAGGTTACATGAATGATTTTCCCCCTCGAAGAAATAATTGTTAAGAAGAAAAATAGGTATTAAAAATTTTTCGATACTGTAATGGCTATTATGATAGAAATTTATTTACAAACTAGTCGTTATAGTGCTAATGATCGTTAATAAAATATATCGATAAGAAATGGTACTATATTATTAAAATTTTTAATGATATTTTGACTTATTTTTTATTTTTTTAGATATTTTTTAAACTGATTTTTCAGCGAGATTTATTACATTAATTTTAAGAGGTTTCTTTTAGCACTTCACTGTTATTTTTATCAGAGAAGTGTTTAAAAAAAAAAGAAAACAAAAAATAAATTGTTTAATTTTAAGGAAGGAATTGCATTTTTCCTTTAAAAATAGATTAAATGTTTTTATTTATTAAATAGAACATTAAAAAATTATCAAATATTTAACGCTATTAAACACCATTATTAACGTTTAATTGTATTTCATCAAACTGTGATAACTTTACAATATTTAATACGGAAAAACTGGCGTTTCTTGCTTAAATAGCACGTTAAAATTAAAATAAATGAATTTCATCATCAATTTAAATATTCCATTAAAAGTATTTATTTATAATTGTAACATGAAATGTAATTAAGTCCAAACACATATTATATACTTTTTAGAGATTCGAAAAACGAAAAAAAAACATATTTTAACTACTATAATTTTATTCTAATTATACAAATCAAGATTAAAAAGGAAAATTTAAAATTTATATATTATATAGATTTTTAACGAACATTAAAATTGATAAATACAGACACGATATAGATAGTAGGATATTATTAAACATCATACTTTAAATCCGAAACAATAGAAGGCCACACAGGTCCCGCCATTTCCGATGTTATACTTGGAGTTCTTAATTCGGGGGTGACAACATCGTGTTGTAATTTGTCGACTCTTAAACAACTTCTACTCGCAGAACTAACTTCTTCGAGAGCAGCACCATTCATTTCTGTATCCTTTTTACAGCATAAGACTCTACGAAATGCTTCTTTAAAATCTTTATTCAAAAAAGCATATATGCACGGGTTGAAAAAAGAATTGAAGTATCCCAACCATGTTATGGCACTTCTGACTTCGTAAGATACGTCACACCTTTCACAATAAGGTAATATGATATACATTAAGAAGAATGGAAGCCAACAAATGCAAAAAACACCCATTATAATCCCTAGTGTTCTTATAGCTTTAGTATCTGTTATTAATTGTTTCGACTTTCTTCTCAAACATTTTCGTACATTTTGGTTAGTTGCTTGTAAAGATAATTCGAGCTGCTTTATTTCTCTTGCTTGATGTTCCGCTATGATTAATATACGGATATACACATAAAACATTACAGGTAATGGGAGATAAAATGAAAAACAAGACGACACAATGGCGTAAATAGGATTTACTCGCAACGAACATTCTGTTATGTCTTCCGGATCGCTTCCATCACTATACCAACCTAAAAATATTGGTATAAAAGAAATAGTAGCACTAAATAACCATATACTCATAATTACGAGTGTTACGAGCCGTTTTGATATCAAAGAACGATATCTTAACGGGCGCGTAATGGCAAAAAAGCGATCCAAAGCGATGACACATAGATGAAGAATCGAAGCGGTGCAACACATAACATCACAAGATATCCAAAAATGACATGCAATGGAACCAAATCTCCATTTTCTTTCCACGTCGTATACAATTAATAGAGGCATCACTAATAATGCTACTGCTATATCGGCCGTTGCTAAACCTGCCAAAAGAAAGTTGGGCACAGTTCTTAGTCGACGAAACTTGGCCACGACTTCGATAACCAAAATATTTCCTACAAATGTCACCGATATTGCAACACTACATACAATAGCACCGATTATTTTCAAAGATTTATCTGCAGCATCCATTATTTCCTATTAGAAATTCCTAACTTTCTCAGTTGATGAGCGTTTTCTGTCGATCGAATCTTATGATTGAATGATATATTTATGTCTGACTAAAATCACGTTTCTCCTCATCTCTAGATGTTGCTATAGTAACATGAAAGTGGAAGGAGCGTTTTCATACTCTTATTTTTCTCCCATCGAGAGAATTATCCACCAATCAGATTTAATATCAAGAACATAAAGGTAAAACGTGAAATTTCAATGCAAATGCGCTTTGTTCGGTTAAAAAACAGTCAAATAAAACATATTTCTATTTTTAAAATCTGTAAATTAAATTATTTTTTAAATTACATTTTAATTTCAATAAATATTTTAAAATTGTTTTATTCTATCTTAGAAAAATGATTAATGAAAATGCTAAATGAGCAATTTTTAATAAAATTAATTAATTCGATGTGATAATGGTTATAAATTTTAACTTAAAAAAAATAAATAAATTTAACTTTTTAAGGTCGAATTATAATAATTTATGTATTTGTTTACAATTATTCGGCTTTTTCTACAGACCATACAAGGAAGAAAACATTATTTTTGATGGGAGTTACAACAGGAAACAGCTCTATACTCTAGCATCAGTATTTAGGAAAAGTTAAAAAGTTCTAAGAAGAAAAATTATTGCGTAATGATAAGTCAATCTTGCTCCAAGTCGCCACGTAGGCCCAGCAAGAAGTTAATCTAGTTATATTACTGCTATTATGAAGTTTATAATAAAGTTTCACACGGAAAAGATTTACACAATTCGACTAACTGAACAATGTTTCTTCTCAGTAAAGGTAAGAAATTCGGCCTGTTTAATAATTGATTATATTCTTTGAATTAATTAGTTTTTAAACATCTTTGGGTTGTTGCCAATTAAAAATTAGTTCATCCTAAGTTATTGTTAATTGGGAATAATCAAAAAAAAAAAAGATTTCTAGAATCACTTCGAGTTATTTTCTCTTCGAAGTCTTGTTCTGTTGAATGTGACATTTAACAAGCGAGGTCAGTTCAACATTTAATCTTAAATACAAGTTTCTTAGAAATATTATTATTCTAAAAACAGAAGTTACCTTCGATTCAAAGTACATTACAAACTAATTTTATCGATTTTTATTTAAAAAGTAATAATAATTATTTCTCGTCAAGAAAAATTATCACATTGTTTTATTATTTATTATATTAAAAAAAAATAATAATAATCCTTAAACCTATAATTTTCTTACTTGGGATGTTAATAAAATGGGTTTTTAAATTAGAAAGTTTTAAAATTTAATTCTGAAAAATAAAATATTCAAATATTTAGTATTATTTTTTTTATTTTTTATAATTTGAAGACCAGATTACTGAATAAAGATAAGCTTATTATTTTCCTTAATTTTCAATATATTTGTATGCAAGTAATAAAATGTTAAACGAGTACACATCTTAATTTTTCATTTTTTAAGTTTTATAAGATAAAGAAATTTAAATATTTTTCCTTCTCAAATTTGACTTCATTAACATTAATTTATAAATTTTATAATTTTTAAAAAAATATCAACATCATGTATCAAAATATTTTGAATTTTCGTTGAAATTTTTTCCCAAAAACTTAATCTTTAGATACATTTTTTCGAGTCAAGAATTATTTTATTTGATACATCTGACATTTTAAACTAATATATTTTCTATATATATATATATGTAT